TATATATATATATATATAATATATTAGATACATAGATAGAACTTATCATTATTTTGATTATTGATTTTAATTATTTATGGATTTATGGATGCTAATAATAATGCTTTCTTTTAGAATATTTTTTTGATTAATAATTATAATTAATAATATATAATGTATGTTTTGATTTTCTATTCTTTTTTTTTTATTGTATATAAATTTATAACGTGTCTTGATCATGCAATTAATATTAATTTTATTTATAAAAAAAAATGATTTAACTGGAAAATATAGCTTGTTACAAAATATGAATATGTAATTTAAGAAAGGCAATTGGGAGATATCATTTGTTAGTTACCAAATTATATCTTTCGTCAATAACCTATCTAAAATATGTAACGAAAGAGCATTAGATTTTAATTTAAAAACAATAATTTTCAACTCGTTTAAAGATAACCTATGATTTATATTCTAATGATTTATAAAATATCTTTATAAATAAACTACTAATAAGTACGAAATAAAAATACTTGTGTTATATTATAGTTTAAATAAATATAAATAAAAATTTATAGATTCAAGAATAATTAGAATAACTTTCTATATCACGAGATTTTCTGATTAAAGTTTTTATAAAAATTTTTATTTCATAAGATGTTTATCATTTATTCGTATAAAGTGAATAAAAATGATTAAAAATCAAATATTTAGAATTATATAATAGATATATAAAAATAAAATAAAAAGTTAAAAAGTTATTAAATATTTGAAATAATATTAAAAAATTGAAAATAGATTACTTAGAATTATTTAAAAATAATGAGATATAAATAGAATTAAAATTTTTTAAACTACTATGTAAAAACAAAAATTAAGATATTCTATCAAACACTGATTAGATGTAGAAATTAAAAAAAAAAATTAATCAGTATAAAATATTTAGATAATATGAAATATTCAAAATTGTAAAAAATTATGAATTATATAATATTTAATTTCAAATCAAATTTCTAAATTAATTAAACACTAAATATCCAAAGTCAATTATTAAAAATAAAATAGAGTTTCATTTCAATTATCCATTAATCAATTAATTTTTTAAAGAATAAAAGAAAAAATATGAAATAATAAATTATTATATATAAATAAATTAAATATATTATAAAATATAAATTATATTAATAATTATAAATTATTATAAATTATAATAAATAAATTATTGTATTATTAAAAAAACTCAAATCATTATTTATATCTATAAGTAATAATAAATTTTTCTTAAAACATAAAAAACATGAAAATATTTCACGAAACAATGTAATTTAATCATTTTCGTTATAAATAGCGGTTATAAAACCTGAATATAAAATATTTCATTGCATTATAAAAAATTATTAAAAATTTAATAATTATTAAAAATTGTTAAAAATTTGTTTAAAAAGTTTTTATAATTACAAATAATTAGAAATAAATAATAAAATAATAATTAATTATCAAAAATTCAGTGCCAATCCAATTATAATATTCAGTAAATATGAAAAAGATTTTGTTCTTTTAATTATATATTATACAAAAAAAAAATAAAAAAAAAAAAATAGTTAAAAAATTAACTCTTTCTAAAAGTTAATATAAAAAAAATTAAGAAATATTTTAAAATTATTCAAAAATTTTCAAATCATTAAATGGTTATCTTTAATAAAATATTGAAACAAACTTTAAAATTCATTCAATGACGAAACTTCGAACAATGAATTAATAAATAGAATGATCGATATCCCAATAAACGGATCATCTATCGAAAGGATTCGAAGCTATCGTTTCCGAACAAGAGGGGGACATTCAATAATAGAAAGAATGACCATGTTCATGAATGATACCGATATGGAAGCACCACTGGTAGATAGAACATTTAAGGGTGCAGCCGTCAAGCCGTCCGCCTAATAGTTTCAGAGGTTAGGACAAGCATCGCGTGCTCCCGGGAGCATCTCAGATTCTAATCTGACACTTCCGTCGTCATTGCCACAATTACGCCGACCCACGATATACGTGTCCTAATGCCTACCCTCTCGCGTTGTACCGCGTACCCTTGAGCGACCAATGTTATATGGTATGATTCCTGGCAATCGACGATGTCGTGTGCGTGCCACATCACACCATACCCACACACTATATCACAAAGGAAATTGACTGCATGCACATCTGGTGCTAAACGTTAGATAACGTAAACTATCAAACAGGTTGACCAACTCTGTAATTACCGTTCGAAGAGCTTGTGCTTTGTCGCTTCTGGTATATTGGTTGTTGTCTTCGGTGATAAGATGTGAAAAGTGTGGTAATCTGAAGTTAATAATATTTTTTTTTTTCGAAATGAACCTATTCTCATTGACTTCCTTTTTGGAATTTTTTGATGTTAACATTTCTCGACTTCCTTTTTTGGAAAGTAA